CATCGGTGTGGTCATGTTATTTTGGACATTTCGGAATGGAGTGGACCAAACACGGACTCAAGGCAGATGTCATTAAGTTCTGCCTGTCCCCAAAACAACTGTGTGTTTATCTAAATATTGGTCGCCTTGGTGTCCTTGAAGGCCACCTTATCTGAATTTCGCCTGGAGAAAATGTTATCCGATGCTCACCACCCCGCTCCATAAGGAATTTCCAACTGATAACCAGATGAAACCCCGCTGAAAAAACTTTGTGTCATCATTTCAGGACTCTGGATTCTCATAGAGGTTATTCTTGGCCATTTCTCGACATACCTCGAGAATATCCTGATGCATGCTCAATAATCCAGGTAGAAAAATCTAAAAAAGTTAAAGCTGGTCCTCTGGACATTCAAAAATACAAAACAAAGCAAAACAACAAAAAAAAAAATGTAGAAACGTTTCGTCTCTCATCCAAGAGACTTCCTCAGTCTGAGGTGCTGTATTCAGCTCAGTCTCTTAAATAGCACCTTCTCAGAGTGGATCAATCAGTTTTGCTGCTGACAACCAAAACAGGTTGATCACATGCTCAAGAAGGACCATCAGCCTAACAATGGATCATTAGCACACTGGTGGCTGTTTACTATTCACAGAGGGCTGAGTGATACAAGCAATCACAGCATTGTAAGAGGGGGACAATTGAACCCGGAGGCCTCCACCCCATTTAATGATGGACGATTTCTTTTCACAAAGATGGCCTCCTTTACTCCTCTCTCAAACCATCGTTCCTCTCTATCCAGGATGTGCACATCTTCATCCCTGAAAGAGTAACCGCTGGCCTGGAGATGAGTGTAGACCGCAGAATCCTGGCCTGATGATGTTGATCTTCTGTACTGGGCCATCCTTTTGGCCAGTGGCTGTTTTGTTTCCCCGATGTAAGACTGATCACAGCCCTCCTGACACTGAACAGCATACACAACATTACTCTGTTTGTGCCGGGGGACTGGATCTTTGGGATATACGGAATGACCACTGGTCTGGGTCTGGGTTCCTCCTTTTCACCTGTTGGCTGACTGGAGTCCTGTTTGGGTTTCTTCTCTGCTTTCAGGAAGGCCCAGTTAGGATATCCACATTGCCCTAGAGCCTGTCTTGTGTGGGATTTCTCCTTCTACCTGGCTCCTGAGCTAGTGGGGACGCTGTCTGCTCTGTGATACAGTCCTGATGACTTCTAACTTGTGCTCCAAAGGGTGATGGGAGTCAAACTGCAAATACTGGTCTGTGTGGGTGGGTTTACGGTACACCTCAGTTTGCAAATGTCCTCTATCAGAGACTGAGACCTCACAGTCCAAGAAAGCCAACTTGCCATTTTTTTCATCTTCTCGTGTGAATTTGATGTATTTATCCACAGAGTTGATGTGGTCAGTAAAATGTTGGACTTCCTGAGATTTGATTTTAAACCAGGTGTCGTCAACATACCTGAACCAATGACTTGGTTGTGTCCCTGAAAAGGACGTCAAGGCTCTCTTTTCTACCTCCTCCATGTACAGGTTGGCAACAATAGGAGAAACTGGAGACCCCATAGCACACCCATGTTTCTGCCTATAATATTGCTCCCCATATGTGAAGTAGGTTGACTGCAGGCACAGTTTCAAGAGTTGACACAGTTGTTCTGTGGAAAGCGTGGTCCTGCTGCTCAGAGTGGTGTCTGATTTTAATTTTAAACTGACCACCTCTACTGCATCATCAACAGGAATGCACGTAAAGAGTGATGTGACATCAAAAGAGACCATTGTTTCATCAGTCTCCATGATGACATCCCTCACCTTATCCACAAAGTCCATGGTGTTCTGTATGTGGTGTTCTGAGCTGCCAACTAAAGGGATCAGTACAGACGCCAGATATTTGGAAACATTGTAAGTGACAGAGTTAATCATGCTAACGATTGGTCTTAAAGGTACACCTTGTTTGTGGATTTTAGGTAAACCATACAGACTAGGTGTGGCCTCCCCTGGGTACAGTCTGTGGTACAGAAAACGGTCAATAGCCTTGTCCTGCTTCAAAATTTTCAGGCAATATATCAATTTCTTCTTGTAACCACTTCCTGGATCTCTTTTCAGAGGTTCATAGGTGTTTAAGTCACTAAGGAGTGTCATAACTTTCTCATGATAGTCTTTCTGGTTCAAAATCACTGTGCACCTTCCTTTGTCTGCTGGGAGAATGATGATGTTTTTGTC